GACTGACCGTTATACAGTACATATCCTCAGGCCTCAGCAGACACCCTTGACTGATGGATCTCTGTGGGTATCCTCAGTCCTAAGTAGGCACTCTTGGCTGACAGATATGCTTGGGGATTCCCAGATCTTAGCAGGCACCCTTAGCTGACAGTTCTCTATAGGTATCCTCAGACATTAGCAGACACACTTGGTTGACAGATCTCTGTGGATAGCCTCACAACTTAGCAGACATTCTTGGTTTATGATTTGCTGTTAATCCTTACATCTTAGCAGGCACTCTTAGCTGATGGAATGCTATAGGAATTTTGGGACCTTATTAGGAACATTTGGTTGATGCATGGTTCTATCCTCGGACCTTTGTTGACACCCTTGGCTGCTGGATTTCAAGGGAAACATTTGTAGGCAGGTTAGACTTTTTCAGTTTACCAGTGTGATACCAGGCTTTAAATCATGTATAAAGCAAATGTGTATGTTGCATATCAGAGAAGGCTGCTGGGCCAGAACACTTCACTTCTTGTTTTAAGGTCAGATGAGATATAAGACTACAACCCATTATGGTGCCAGAAATGGTACTATGGGGGAAAGTGGCGGGTAGGGTAGGCATCTCACTAGTATTCCCTTAAACTATAGTTGCCCTGATTAGGGCCACCCATTTGCCCAGTAATGCAATTTAATGGAAGGACGCTTTGCAATGTGCATTACATGCTGACCATTTTCAAATATGTCCTACGCACAGTACGCAACACCAGAATTACCAAGCAATAATAAAATACTTTTTCAGTAAGAGAAGATCATCACCTCATATTTTACAGTAGGTTCTGCTTGCTTGATATTCAAGTACAATATTGTTCTGCTGTTCTCCAGTTCCTTTATCTCAATTAACTCCTCAACCTTTCCATTTCTCACATCTTGGCATGAATCCTTGTCATGAATATATTATATCCCATCAAAGCATAATATTTGAAGCCTGACTGCCTGCAATGATGGCACCTTTTCTTCAGCAAAAAAAAAAATATGGCATTTTCTAATTTATTCTGTCCATGCTTAAAGGGGGTCCCATATCATTGACTAAGCAAGAGTCATTTTTAATTGATCTCCCTTAAACAACTTTTTTTGCCACAGGATAGTAGACCTTAATGGAAACCTGTTCTGAGAGAAATATGAAAGCTACCATCACTGAAAATGCTAGTTGCATGGACATCTTTGGCCTAAGTACATTGAGTCTCTGTCCTGCGACAAGCATGCAGCGGAAGTCAAAGTGAAGTCAAAACTTTTCACGTGCATGATTTTTTCAGGTTGGTGACTCAGAAAGCATTAAGATTATTGGATCGGCTTGACAGCCAACCACTTACACTTAGGATTTTCTGACAAGAGACACTGCGAGTGTGTAATGCTAGAAAAATCTAATATATTGTATCAGTTCATTAGTATGGACTGCACTAAAGTCAAAACTATAATTCACAGGGAAACTGCATAACAGAGCACCAAAATTAGCAGTATCTGATCACATAGTTCAGTGATACATTAGGCTTCTGAAAGAGGTGGAACTTCATTCCAAATATTGACAGGTGTAGATCTATGTGGCATAAATGAGTTCACCCGGGGGATGAGCTCAGCCTCTGGCTTGGTTTGTTCTGAACTTGAGCCACTCGAAATCCATAGACATGGAGCCACCTGCCCATCCAGCTGCGGGCCAGAGCATTCCCTGTTCCTCAGCTGCACGTAAACGAAGGGGAGAGATGCTTGTGCTGACATTATTGGCCTTATATGACTACATGGCTATATTAGGTTGATATCATTGACTAAAATATAGCCATAAGGTCAGCAAACGTCATTGATGTCACAGCATTCCGCCTCTTAACTTACGTAAAGCTGGGGGTGAAGAATTGATTAGGTGGCAGTGGAGGAAGCTTCCTTCTGGGTTGGAGGAGTTCAGGTTCAGATCGAACCCGGTCCTAATCTGAACTCATCCCTGGTTCACACCCTTCATTATAGCGGGCTTTTTCATGGAAGAAATGCTATCATGACCATCGAAACTCAATAACTGCAAATCAGGTCCTGCTGACAGACAGAACCTGAGAGCTATATGATAAGTAATGTATGAGGCTAGGCTCACACCTAGGCGACACCTCACTATGCGGCAATCGTGCATGATTCCGCGCGGATTGCCACGCGTTCAGGAGTCGCCAAGGTGTGTTCAGGAGTCGCCAAGGTGTGAACAGATCACGGTTTCCCGCCGTGATTCCGAACACGAAACATCCGCGTGTCGTGTATCGCAAAAAAAGGTACGTATCACCATATCAATGGGGCTGTGGGAATGTACTTCCTAAACTAAGATGCTGACTAAGAGATGAAATTCTAGCGCCTGTGGCTATGTTTTGAAACATGTGACACAGATCAGGCTCCTGCTGCAGCCTCTCATATTGTGACTTGTTACAAAGTAATAAAGTTGCAGTCTAATCACTGGGGAAGAGGAGACCGATAAAATGCTTCCTCCTGCGTGCAGCTGAGATGATCACATCATCTCAGCCTAGGCACATTCACTTGACTGGAGCTCAAAGGCTACTTTTTCATAAAACATTTTTGTTTAAAGGAGAACTATGGGGTTAGGGCTTTTCCCCATAGTTCCTCTTAGGGTAACCGGAGGACACAAACTAGTGTCCTCCCGTCACCATAAGCTCAGTATACCGCGATCTACAGCTCGCGGTATACTGAGACGCCGCAGCTGAAGCGGATCCCGACAATTATGTCTGGATCCGCCCAGCTGCGTGAGTGACAGCTGGCTCTGCCTATCTAGAGGCAGAGCCAGCTGTACCCGCCCCCTCCCCCGTTCGTTCCGCCAGTCAGCGCTGAAGGATCGGAGCAGGGAGGGGGGAATCCAGCCCCTCCCCTGTCATGGCAGAGAGCCGTGACAGGATCGAGAAGTGAGCGAACGCCGATATGTGTTCGCTCACTTCCCGATCTACTGAGTCGACCTGTGACAGTCTCATTGTCACAGGTCGGCTAGAACTATGAGGTGAGTGAAAAGCACTCACCTCATAGTTCTCCTTTAACTCCTTCCACATCTGTGTACTGAGGCAACGTGCACAGAAACGTGCATTTTATTGCATCTTGAAGGAGCGTGCCAAACTACTAGCCACTTTGTGAGACGTGCTGCAGCGATATTCATTGTTAATGGAACCCCAACGCAACTAGATTCACCATGTGCTTTCACATGCATGAGGGGAATGTATCAAAACTGGGGCAAACAACATCTGGAGCAGTTGCCCTGGGGCATCCAATCAGCTTCTCTCTTCAGTTTCTTCAGTTGAAAATGAAAGAGAGAAGCTGATTGGTTGCTATGCACAACTGCTGCAGATTTTGTCTGCTCCAGTTTTGATAAATTCCCCTCTGTTTTGGTGAGGCAAATTGAAAAAAAAGTGCATGGACTTCTTTGATACAATTGTTGTGGATAGGGCAGCCCATTGAAATGAACGGGCTGCCCTATACATGATGCACAAAAACGAGCATACAGGTGTGAATGGAGCCCAGGTGGAAAGTGTTAATGTTTGACTGCAGTACACATTTATTTCTAGCTGTCATTTTAAAAGGATAACTTGATCTTTTGAACAACAAAAAGAACAAAAAAAAACATATTAAGAAATTATCCGGTACATCAATACATCCCCAAATATACTTACTTATTTACTTCTACTGCAGTGTTTATATACTGCCAATTTTCTGCCAGTAGAACTAGCTGCTTTGATTAAATACTTCTGACTGCATTATATACATCTACTAATAGAATCCCCCGAAGTCTCAGTAGAGACCTCTCCTGCCCTGCCTGTACTAGGCAGATGAATAAACACTGAGAAAATAAAAGGCTGATTTGCTACACTGACTGATAAGCTTTGCACTGACTTCATTCTCCTCAAAGACCCAATCATTCTAACAGACTTCAGGAGATGGTGCATATAACAACTCTACAACAGAAATAAGTGAAATATGAAATATTGTTTTCTCGAATGCCTGCAATATACGAAGTAGACAAAAAAGGTTTTGTGAAACTTTCTTTTGCTAAATTTAGCTTTCCTTTTAAGGCATTGAGGTTGAATGCGAAGAGGCTTTCATCTTGCCTCTGGTCCTTTAACTGCCTTCTGATACTGAAAGCATCGAGGAAACTTGCTGTAGACACTGACCCTTGGCTTCTCCTGATGCCCATGAGCTCTGATGTACCTTCAAGAGCAAAAATTGCTTTTCTAAACCCACAAAAGTCTCAGTTATGAAGTCCCAACTCATCTTCCTGAAACATACTTCAACTAAACATTGAACTAAACATAATTCCCCATTTCGAATAGTTAAAAGGAGAACTATGGGGTTGAGGCTTTTCCCCATAGTTCTCCTTAGGGTAACGGGAGGACACAAACTAGCGTCCTCCCGTCACCCTAGGCTCAGTATATCGCGAGCTGTAGCTCGCGGTATACTGAGACGCCGCAATATACCGCGAGCTGCTGCACACAGTATATATAGTGTATATATTGTATATTTGGGGATATTAGCAGATGTGGTGAGTGCTTGACTGCCTGACTCCGTCTGTTAGAGCACCGTCTGTTCCTATTTTCCAGCAGGAGCTAATTCCCCTAGTCCCTGCTAAAGCCTGGACCCACAATTGGAGATTTCATCCCCCCTGAATCACGTTGAAACCTCCCGGTTCCAGTATCCCAAGCAAAATCCAGACAAACCCTTGCTTCCTGATACCTCTCAGCCCCTATGGCTAAGAGTCGTGGGTGATCATAACACCCAAATCTACCGTTGGATTGCCTACCGTCGGATTTAACCTAGAATTAGAATTACAATACTCTTATTACAAAAGACCTGTTTAAAATATTACAGAAGTATAAATTTATGTTAGGGCCACTCATGAAACCCAATTAGATTAAACACTCCAGACATACAATATTGACATCATGATGACCAGAATGATTAGAAACATCAAAAATAAAATGCAATGTTGATGTTACCTGGTGAATGATGTGGCGGTGAGCACATGAGAACCACTCCTTGCCCTTCCCTTACAGAGACTGCGCTTCTTACTCGCCCACTGAAATTCCCAAGATCTGTAAGCAGAAAATAATATTATATAATTTATAATATCATATAAAGTAAAGGTTTTTAATAGAAAAAAAGAACACATACATATGTCAGTCTGTAATTAGCAGACCATACACCCAAGATCACCCAAGATCTGTCTGTCCAACAATGGACTTCTCTTATTTGGTCCACTTCTCTGTTAAATATACCATCAAAAGCATTTTGTTAAGATACATTTAAAAAGCTTGCCAAAAATCTTGTGAGCTGTGTTCTGTGCTGACGGGTATCAGTTACATTGTTCTTTGTTAGCCCTCAGTACTAATGAACACATCCCTCTATGTTATAGACAATAGGAGAAGGGTAAAGTTCTGTGGTCCTAGCTTTCTGTTGCCTTAAAGCAGTAGGGAAGATGAGTGTTGTCAAGCCTCAGACTGGAAATGTGTTACTGACAGAATCATGTCATCCCTTATAAAAAATAAAGACAAAAAGAACTTGAAAAAAGAAAATGAATGCAGCCACCATATCTGGCAATCTGCAATTTGCATAATTTTTGCTTTGGGTTTTGATTTTAATTATTTACTGATCACTGTGATGCCTAACAAGGATCAATTCAAATTTTGGAGAAATTATTTGCCTGCCTTTCCTTCCCTAGAAACTTTGTTGAGGCTCTTTGGAGTTATATACCGATGGGCAAATGCGGCTTGCCTTCATGTGCATTTTGCTTAAATAGCAACCCTGCCTTCTGTAGTTGTATCTCTTCTACATTTACTGTAGAATGTTCAGTGCTGGACTTTAACCAGACTGAGCATCTATTTTTCTGTGTTCTGCAAGTCTTCCTTAAGCCTGGTTGATCAGGCTATCACCTGCTGCTGTGAGGAGGTTCCAGCAAGCAGTGCAGGAATCCTAACCACAGAACATTTATCAGATGCAACCAATCCAAGGTGGGCTGCCACAGGTATGACTGGGGAGATGATAAATATTTGGGGCACCTTTCCAGAACTCCCTGAGGCTTGTCCCTGGGAGGAGGCCGGTGTGATTATCTGCTGCCAGGGCCTGGCTCAGAATGCGTCAAGTGCTGGGGGCCCTGGAGGATGAGCTACTGCTGGAGGGGATACATGATGGAAGCTGGGCTGGAGAAAGGATTTTCTTGCTGAAGAATGTGACAGAGAATCTGGGTAGAAGCTACTGTCTGGCCATTGTGAGACGGATTAATTGTCCACAGACCCAGGTATCATACAGGAGGAGAGAAGCCAGTAGTGCATTAGATGGACTGTGACTGCTCTTACAGGGTCATATATTTCATTGTCTGCCCTCTGTCTATTAGTATTGATTTTGTGGAGGTCACTCTCATAGAACCTGTTGCTGCTACTATTTTGGAATAATCTGTACTACATTGTGTTGTGGTTTGGGTATCCTTCATTCCTAAACCCTCTCTTCTGCGTTTAGCAATAAATCGTAAAAAGACCTTAAGAGACTGGAGCCTCATGATTGCCAGAAGTTGTCGGCACTGTTGGATCCAGAAACAGGGTAGCTACCCAGGGAAGAGGCAGAAGAATCCAAAAATTTACCAGAGGCTCCTGCGGGAGTCATCGCTACGCTTGCTTTTGAGATTAGCGTTAGACACTTCTGAAATCATTCACAGTTTATTGACAGCTACATATTGCAGCTGTTAGCTTAGAAGGAGGTCCTTCTAAGCTGCATCAACCAGCTTTAAAACCACTTTCCTTGCCATTTGGCTTGTATGGGAGAAAAAGTAGTTCTGGCGTGAACAAAAGTCCATCAATAATGGCTGTAATAGTCATCTCTCCCCAATCTAGTGAAATATCTTCAAAAATACAAGAGTTATTTGTTTGAGAAGATTTTGACAATAGGCTCTGCCTCCTTATCACCAATAGCTCACTGGATCAGGAACAGGTGATCATAAGAATGGGGGTAAGGGAAGCTCCCATGCTGCAGAGGAAATAGACCCAAATTAGTATGAGTAAGTCCACCAGTCTTTTTTTTTTCCAAACATTTTCAGTCTTGTACTGGGATTCGGTAGGTGGCTCTAAATTCAGAAAATGTTAACAGTAGTCCACCAGTCTTGATGCCAGATGATCATTCTGGTCATGGAAGGCAGAGATAGCAACACCTGGAGAAAACCCTGAGAAGAGGTGATCCTAGCAAAAGGATGTTGCTTTAAATGCCACAGTTGGCATGTCTACAGACTCCAGTAAACGAAGCACAGGCCTTGTGGTGCCTTTTTTGACTGTGCCTCAGAAGGTTGCAAATTAATAGGTAACACCTTACAAATGTTGCAAAAAGAGGTATTGGACTGAGTAAGCCAGGGCTCAACATTTCCACTCGCCTGCTCGCATTTGGTGAGTAAAAATAAAGTGAGGATGAGTGCAAATTTGGGTCTCCAATTACCGGTCCGCGGGTACTATGTGGCCCGCAGCCAGCTGAAGAGTCGGGCACATGGTCACAGACCGCATACCTGACTTGCGGGAAAAGCTCCACAGCAGACCGCAGAGCAGCTCCGGCTTCCTTCGGTCGGAGCTCTGACACTTGTGAGCACCGGCCGAAAGGAAATATATTTAGTGTTTTAGTGTATGTGTATATTAGGCCCCTAGTGGCGACTAACTCTTAAGGCCTGGCTAGTAGCTCAGGACTTGAAATTTTGAGCCCTGGAGTAAGCTATATATTGGTTGACAAAATGGAACTTTTTAGATGCTGAGGAGGAGGTAATGATGCACCAGGGATTGCAGGAAATATTTTAAAAATATGGTCAATCTGGTCATGGATGGCAGAGACAGCGGCTCCTAGAGGAAACCCCCAAAATAGGTAATCCTAGCAAAAACATACTGCTTTGGGTGCAACATTTTGTGTCTCCAGTCTCCAGTAATGGAAACACAGACCTTGTCATGTCTGACTAGAAGGTTACAAAGTATTATTCAAGCTCCCACAAATTCGGCAAAAAGAGGTATTGGGCTAAGTAAGCTACATATTGGTTGACAATATTTGACTTTTCAGATGCTGAGGAGGAGGGAGTGATGGATCAGGGACTGAAGTAAATATTTTAAACAGCTAGCCATCAATCTGGTCATGAAGGCAATGACAGCAGCACTGGAAGAAAATCCCCGCAAGCACAAGGAAAACCTACCAACTCTACTCAGAATGTGTTCTGGTAAGATATTAACCATGGAACCCGCATCCAAAGCTACAAGACAATAGTATGGACTACCTGTCCTAAAATGCATTCATATATTGACGCTGTAGTTTTGTTATAATTTCCTCACAGTTATCTGCATCATTTGAAATGATCATTTTGGAAAAAAAAAAAGAGATAAAACTTGTGTAATTAGAACATTAATCTGCAGCTCGTGGTTTAGGAATTCTTATCAGAACCATGGAGCTCCAAGGCTATTATTTGATGATAAGGAAATGATTTAAGGTTTGGGGAAAAACAAAGCCTTAGATATTGTTAGGGGTGAGAACCTATAGAAACAAAACAGTTCTTTTTTTGTCTTTTTCTGATCGTTCGTGCAGATGTTTGATATCTTGTATGAAAAGATTTTATTGAAGTCTGGCAAGATTGGATTAATCAAAAGACAGCATCAAAGATTAGAAGAGTTATGTGAGTCAATACTTTTTTACACAACTAGATAGACCAGCTATCAGCACCATTTTTATTGTAAGATGGAGAATTTTTGCAAAGATGGTAGCAAGGGCCTATACACCATTATGCCTAATGATAACACATGGTTACCGCAATGCAATGCCGGTACCATGATGCCTTGCTATTTTAAACAAAATACGAATGCACTAAGACAACACCCCTGCACTGCAGCTCACTGTAGCTGCCAATGCACTGTGGTGCATTGGGAGCCAGTTCATAATGAAGCCATTGACTTACAAAATGTAAGTTTTTTGATCATCTACAGAATGCAAATGGATACTAATCACCATATCAAAGAATTGCAGAAAGGAGCACCAGAATAAAAACAGATGAGACAGTCTAGGATGGTTTTTAAATGTTAAATAAGTCATATATATACTGTATATACAGCGAACACATATATAAACAGCCAGCACATTTCAGAGGTGTAACTACTCCCCCTTCATCAGGGCTCAAGACAGGATACACTTGGATGGACTCTGAGAAAACAGTGACCAAAGAGATCTATATCTCGTAAAATTGTCTGCGCTATATAAATACCAGTAATTAGTATTATTAATATCTTATAATTAGAGAAGGTTGATCCAGGGAATATCCGATTGCCTTATGGGATCAGGAAGGAATTGTTTTCCCCTGTTGGAGCAAATTGAACCATGCTTCATAGGCGTTTTTTTGCCTTCCAGGGGGTATTTGTGGGCATAGCGTTCTGTTTAGGCTTTTTTTTTTTCATATCTCTATAGATTGAACTCGATGGACATGTGTCTTTTTTCAACCTGACTAACTATGTAACACAGGATTTATATAGCGCCAACAGTTTGCGCGGCACTTTGCATTATAAGGAAGACATTACAATTCAAGACAAGATGGTAAGCAGGGTCCTGTCCGTAAGGGCTTACAATCTAAAAGGGAGGGGCAAGTGATACATGGAGGAGGTAGCTGTGTGGGGATGAATTGTATGAGAGCATGATGGTTGAGTGGTTAGTTTGAGGTGGGCTAGGCTTCCCTGAAGAGATGAGTCTTAAGGGATCGCCTAAAGGCAGTCACAGTGGGAGATAGTCGGACAGGTTGGGGTAAAGAGTTCCAGAGGACGGGAGAGAAAGGGGCAGAGTTGTGGATGGCTTTGTAAGTCATTGTTAATATTCTGAATTTTATCCTTTGGGCTATAGGAAGCCAGTGCAGGGATCGACAGAGGGGGGTTGCAGACACTGAGCGATCGGTTAGGGTAATAAATAAATAAAACATCCACTGCAGGTCAATCAATCACTGACATTTAAAACACATGCACCAGGAAGATATGTCTGCATTAAATATTTGGTGAATGTCATATCCAATGCTTTATAGATATACCTCTGAAATAAAAACTGCAGC